GTATTTTCCTTGATTTCATTATAGTATGTGATATTGATCATTTATTCTTTTGTATATAGACTAGTGCTAAAAAGAATGGGCTTTCTGCTAGATTTTAGTTTGAATCCAGTTTTACTGTGTTTTAGTTGTGTAATCTTAAATGATTCATTTTAACATGGGACTTCAGTTTCCTCATCTATAAAGTGAGGCTAGTAAATTTACCTCGTAGGGCTTCCTGGGCGGCTCAGCAGTAAAGTTTCCATCTGCAGTGAAGGAGATGCCAGAGACGTGGGTTCAGTCCCTGGATGGGGTAGATCCACGGAAGGAGGAAATGGCGACCCAATCTAGCAATCTTGCCCAGAAAATCCTTTAGTCAGAGGAGCCTGGTGGGCTTCAGTCCATGGTTTCTTAGCAGAGTCAGACATGACTGAGTGACTAAACAACAAACAGCAACAAACCTGCCTCAGAGTTTAGCTGTGAGGATTAGAATAATATTAATAATAATAAATGGGGAGTTACTGAAATAGAGTAAAGGCTCAATGTGAAGTAGCTATATGGTATAGAAGATAAAGTGTAAATTCTCACTCTTTCCCAATGGGTAAACAGTGATAAAGTATTTGCAGTGAATAGTTTCATGTCTTATTTTTAAATTTATGTGCAGTATTTTTAATTTTTAAATTTTTATTAATGAATCTTCGAGTGCAAGGAGATCCAACCAGTCAATCCTAAAGGAAATCAGCCCTGAATATTTCTTGGAAGGACTGATGCTGAAGCTGAAACTCCAATACTTTGGTCACCTGATGCGAAGAGCTGACTCATTTGAAAAAACCCTGATGCTGGGAAAGATTGAAGGTGGGAGAAGGGGATGACAGAAGATGAGATGGTTGAATGGCATCATTGATTCAATGGACATGTGTTTTAGTAAGCTCTGGGAGTTGGGATGGACTGGGAAGCCTGGCATGGTGCAGTCCATGGGGTTGCAAAGAGTCAGACATGACTGAGCAACTGAACTGAACTGAATTGATTAATGAATCATATACCTAATAACTAGGTTCTTCCTTTGAAATGTTTCATATGCACCATTTCCTTTCCATTCCAATTGCTATAATGCAATTTTTGACCCGAATATCTGGACAGATTTGTTAGCCTATATTGCTTCTCTTTTAGCCTATCATGTATTCTGCTATTAATCTTTTGAAAGCATGGGTTTTTTTCATAAATAACTTGCACTTTTTTTCTTACTGCCAACTACCAACTGCACTAGGTATAAGTTTCTTTGTTTCAATTGCAAAATGTTTCACAAAATTTAACATTAGCTACATGCCATTTCTTTAATTTTATTCAGCTCTATTAGTGTATAATTTACATAAAATAAATTTCATTTGCTTTAAGCATAGAGTTTGATGAATATTGGCTATTGTATACAGGCTTAGAAACATGACCATGATTAAGGTACAGAACACATTCATTAATCTTAAAAGCTCCCTCATGGCCCTTTGTCACTGAGAGACTACCCAGTAGATCTTCATGTTATTATCATAGTTTTGCACTTTGTAGAATTTCATATCAATGGAATCATGAAGCAAACAGTCTTTTAAAAAAATTAATTTATTTTAATTGGAGGATAATTTCTTTACAATATTGTGGTGGTTTTGGCCATACATCAAGATGAATCATCCATGGGTGCGCATGTGTCCCCCCATCCTGAATCCTCGTCCGACCTCCCTCCCTCCCCCATCCCTCTGCGTTGTCCCAGAGCACTCACTGAGTGTCCTGCTTCATGCACTGAACTTGCACTGGTCATCTATTTTACATATGATAATATATGTTTCAATGCTAT